AGAGCAAGTTTATGTGACGTCATACTGGGTTGAGTAATTAAATCACAAGTCTACTCTACTCGTAAAGCGCAGTAGCGCAATGAAGCCGCTGACTGTGATGAAATGATTCTTACTTAATTGACTAATAAAAACACTGCCTAAGGGTGAAGTATCGCCATGGAGCACCGCGGCCATTGCGAACCAAATATTCAACCACCATTGTCCTCCCGTTGCGCTATCATTTACATATCAGATTTCTAAGTTACGAGTAGAAAAGCAGCGCCGGCGAGTAGGCTACTCATAACATTCATCATAATGACATACGTCTACAGCAGGCCTTCCAGTGGTGAAGGAGAAGTTGTCAGCGCGTACTCTGCATAAAAATTTTCAGCAGAGAGAAAACTGCCTTATGAGGCAGTTTTCTTAAAATCCAAAAGTTGCGCGTCATTTCAAGGTTGTTTGCCTATATCAGTAATTTTGTCACCGAAATTCACCTGCGAAAGAAGAACGAATTGTTTAATGCAAATTGCAGCTGTACTTCTGACTTCTTTTGACTGGGCAGTGTAAAACCCTCTAACGAGGCAAACTGAACTCCACAGATCATGTTAAACCTTGTCTGATTGGCCGTGATGTACGATGCATGAGGAAAAGAGAAATTTCTTCTGTGATTTGTGGTCGATATTACGTAGAGCGCTTGAGAGCGACCCAAATAACAAATGAAAGGCAAGTTACAGTTGGTGATTATGTTGATGACCACAGAACCATTTCAAATAACACTAATTGGAACGTTCTTTGAGAACGGGAAACAAAATGCCTTCGCTATCAATCAATAGTGACGATGGATGGTGGGGGGGGTGGTCACTTTCGGGATCAACCTTATGAATAGTGGTGTAATCTCTTCATCTGCATGGTGAATCGGAGCCGTGGGATAAGAGGATCGATAATGAGGATACAAGTTTGACAAATGGTATTATGGAAATGAAAAAAGCTATCGTTCTTTAACACCACTTGAATGTTTAAGATCTGGTTTGCGCTGATAAAGAAACTTTCAAAATGTGAGAATCACATCTATCACTGTCACATGCTGCTGCAGCCAGTAAAAGAAGGTTAGGAATAAGGTCCCCTGACTCTCGCGTGTTTTAATTTGCCCCCCTCCCCTCACCTGCATGTAGTCTCAAAAGTTCATTTGAGAGGCACGTTGAAGTATTTGCTTCACGCTCTAGAATGAAGGCTGCATTCACATTAATTCTGAATCCTCGTTCGTTTGCTATCAACTCACTGAGCAGAGGACGACGACTGACGGCACTAGACGGACCTTATACGAATAACCCTTTGAATGGTAGGGTTATATTCGTAGCCAGCACTCAACAATCGACAGGTCAGCAAACGAAAGCACACTAACATTATGCACTGCGTAATTCAACTGAACATTGAGATTGACGATCAAATGTTAAGGTCACCTACAAAAACAGCCTAAATCGAATCTACATGCTCTCAACCATTTATGCCACTATCAACCTATTTTCCAGTGATAACGATTACCGGAAGGACACAATGACAACCCTGATAACTCTCGATTAATCAATGGTACTGAATTGTATTGTTCAAAGGTTATATGCAGTTGACCAGAATCAGAGGTGTGCGAATGCAAGGAGAAGAATAAGATCGAGTTGATCAGAGGTCGCACATCATTCAGGGGCTCATTTAGAGAAAACGCGATGAAATACTCGTGAGTGAATTCAATCATAACATTTATTAATATTTTCGCCGTTTTGCTCGTGCATGAACTGAAGCAGTGGCCAATAGCTTTTGAACTTCTCGTCCTTGCTCTTAATTATGATTATTGCCTGTTCATTGAGGTCGTGGAGGCAAACGAGTCAATCAGCTTCCTCTACATTCTTGATCATATACCAGGTCTTCAGCATAGCTCCGTCCCGATAACTCAAGCTCGGAACAGAATTTGTCCAGGCACTTGCCTATGGTCATTGCTGGTCATCCGTTGGGGTTTCCTCCTCTCGATCAAGCATGCAGTAGTTATTTCATCATCTTTCCTGCACGTATTTGTATATTCGCGCCAAAATTCTCTCAGCTGTGACCTCCACGTTTAAAGAAGTATTGGAAGTCAAAAAACACTTTCGGATATCTGAATTCTGGAGCAGTTCTGCCAAGCGATTCGACTCATTAAACCCATTTCAGCTGATTGTGCAAAGGATCAAGGAT